AATAGAAAATCTTTTTTTTTTTTCGGCTTGGGGACGAGGAGTCGGCGCCGGGGTCGCGGCCGGGTGGAAGCTACTGACCTTTGGCCGAGGCGGCGCAGACGGCCAGCAGAGGTCGTGGCGACCCGGGCGGGGTAAAGCGGGCGCGGCAGGGCCATAAAGCCAAAGTGAAGCCAGAAAACAACGGGATCCAAACCCGGGACGTGCGGGACGGCAGGGCCCGGCGGATTACGGGGCTCACGGCACACCCAGCACAGACGGGAAACCAAGGCCCAGAAGGGGAGAGGCCTCGCCGCCCGAGACCTGGGGCCAACCAGACCCAGAACCCAGTACTCTCGGCTCCCAGGGGGCTGGAACCCGGCTGTTCGGGGGGTCCAGGGCGCTAAGCCTGGGGCTGGCCCAGCAGCCACTCCTAGGCCCCAGGCCCAGGCTGCAGATGCCCTACTGACCGCCCGTTTCCAGGACACAGAACCGCGGGCGTCCAAACCCGGCCGCCCACCAGCCTGACTAACGCCTCTGGCTCTAATTAGCCGCTTTGAAGATGAAACAGGCCTGAGCCCCCATGCCAGCCGCAGCCACTCCTAGGCCCCAGGCCCAGGCTGCAGATGCCCTACTGACCGCCGGTTTCCAGGACACAGAACCGCGGGCGTCCAAACCCCGCCGCCCACCAGCCTGACTAACGCCTCTGGCTCTAATTAGCCGCTTTGAAGATGAAACAGGCCTGAGCCCCCATGCCAGCTGCTGCCAACTTGTCTCTCCCCTTCCCTCAGGCTGCGCCAGCCCCTCCCTACCCCATTCTGGCGCTGCTCCAGATGGGAGGTGGTGGGGAGTCAGGAGGTAGAGAACTGGAAAGGAGGCTGTTTGGGTGTCCAGGGTGTCAATGGGGGGAGTGGGTGGGATGGAGACAGGGACCCACCCAGAGGGACAGGTCCAGCCAGAAGGCCCGGTCCTGGCTCCTCTGGGCCCTGGCTCCACAGTTGACTCATAGGCGGCAGTCCCAAACCACTTCCCTCTAGGTGCCTCAGTTTCCCCATCCATAAAATGGGAGTGATGACTCCCACCCAAGAGGCTGTGGGGTGGGGCGGCCTGGCTAATTAAACCTAAGATGAAAGAGGCCAGGATGAGAGCAGCTCTGGGGAGGGAGGGCAGCTTGGAGGAGGAGTCTGTCTGGTTTCCCTGTCTGAGGCCCAGAGGGTGCCGATAACTGCACATCCCTGGCCCTCACCACTTACAGTGAGGCAGGAATAGTTATTAAACCTCTTTTACAGTTGAAGAGACATGCTTCCAAGGGTCAGGAAGACCGACACTGGCTCTGGTCCCAGCTCAGCCTCTGGCAGCATGGCCTCTGCCAACCTCCAGCCTGTCTGAGCCTTGGCTCCTTGGGGCGAGGGTCTGGAGGGAGGCAACCTACCTGTGATGGGCATGCCCACGTGGACTCACTGAGGCTCACAGCAACCCCAAGGTACTGAGGGGTGGGTTCATCTGTCACTATTCACAGATGAAGAAAAGGAGGCCCAGAGAGGTGCAGCCATTTGCCCAAAGTCACAGAAGTGGAGTCAGCTTCAGCAAACTGCCCCTCGCTGCACCTGACCTGGCCCTCCCCCCACACCAGCTACCCTCAGCCCTCTTGAGTGTCCAGGTCCCTGGATAGGCCCTCCTCTCATCTGCCTGCCCAGGTGTCTGCTCCTCTATGGGAGGGTGGTGATGGCTCTCTCCCTGGCACAGGCCAGGCACAGAGTTGAGCTCAGCCCATCATAGGCCCGCCCAGGAGAGCGACATCCTAGCCACAAGGGCCCAGGTGTGGACCGCTGCCAGATGGCTCAGCAAGGGATTCCCCACTCGATGCCCTCACCTCGTTCCTTCTCTTCCTGCTGAGTTTCCTTCCTCCCCCCATGCAGCCCAGTTTTGGGGAGATACCAGACACAAGTCTTGGAAAAGGGAAAGTCAGTTTCCTGAAGGATCCTGAACCTCAGTTTTCTTATCTGTGAAATGGGGATACAACTAATCCACCCTCACAGCACTAAGTACTGGGGATACAAGTCAACAGGCTAATCCATAGAGACAGAGTAGAGTAGTGGGGGATGAGGGTTGGGGGAATGGAGGGTACAGGGTTTTCTCTCAGGGTGATGAAAATGTTCTGAAATTAGACAGTGGTGGTGGTTATACAACTCTGTGAGGATACTACAAATCATTGAATTGTAAAAGGTGAATTTTATAGTCTGTGAATTACACCTAAATAAAACCATTTTAAATGGTGTTTAAAAAGGTCCCTCAAGTACAGAGCTTGCACAGCGGACAGGGGAACAGACAACAAACAAAAAAGACAAACCAAATGCTGCAAAGAAAATAGGGTAATGGGTCAGAGGTGACAAGGGGGAGGGGCACGGATTTAGCTTGCTGGGGGGTCAGAGAGGCCTCTTGGAAGACAGGACGTTCGGCTGAAATCCGAATGACGACGAGAGGTTGCCAGTCATGGGCGGGGCAGAGGGCAAGGGCTCCAGGCAGGAGCGGCAGGAGGAGAGCCCAGCTGGGGGCAGGCGGCGAGGCTGGCACACAGGGCAGCGGTGGGGAGGGGGCTGGCAGGGCAGCAGGGGCTGCAGCACGCCAGGTCCCGGGGCCTTATTCCAGGGGCGATGGAGCTGCTGGAGGCTCTGCCCGAGGGGCAGGGGGACATGGTCTGACCTGGGTTTCAACAGCATGGAAGGCTGCTGTGAGGAGTGCTGGCTGTGGGGGCACGGGGGGAGCTGGAGGCTGGTCAGGAGGCTAGACCACGGCCCAGGCGAGAGGTGACAAGGACTTGGATCCGGGTGGTAACCAGGGAGATGTGGGCAGGGTCGGGATGATATGGGAGCTGCAGGACTTGCTGGTGAGTGGATGTGTGGGATGAGGGAAGGGGGAGGCGGGGGCTCGGGGACTCGGGCCTTGGGGACCTGGAGGCTGAAGGTTCCAGCATCCAAGGCACGGAAGGCTGTGAGAACTCTGAGGATGAATAAAGCCCGGCAGGCCTTACACGTGGCTCGTGGTGCAGCCTAACCTGACTTCTTGGCATCCCCCAGTGGTAACCTATGGAAACTGAGGCTCAGAGTTTAGGTGGCTTCGTCCAAATCCCCGAAGACTAAGGCCACAGGATGGCCCATTTTGCCTTAGCCCTCCAGAGATTCCCAGCCCCTTCCCCACTCCCACCCCATCCTGGCTCCTCCCGGAAGCCTTCCCTGAGAACAGGAAGGGGTTGTTTCAGACCTTCTCCCTCCATCCAACTCGTGCCCTAGCTCTCCCTGAGCCCCTGGGCACCGCATTCGGGCACCTGACACCACTCTTTGGGGAGCTTAGTCCTCACTTGCCTGCCGTGGTTCCTCTTTGTGTCACACCGCTGGCCACTGTACCAAGACACATCCACTCAGAACACACCTGGAATTGGCCCTCATGGTTCTGGGTGCACCTTGGCCCAGGCCGCCATTATCTGCTTAGACCACTGCAGTAGCGCCTCACTGGTCTCCCTACTGCCACCCTCCCCACTAATACACATGCTCTATTCTGCCCGTTTCGGAGCCTGCGCCTTCCTACCACGCTGAACTTCACACGATGTAGCCAACCTCTTCTTTTCCCCTTTGTCCACCTCACCATCTGGCCACCATAGCCTTTGGATTCATTGCACGCACACGAGGCTCACTCCAGCTTTGGGGTTGGCACCATCTATTCCTTCAGCTGATCACGCTCTTCCCTGCTCTGCACAGCTGGCTCCTACCTCTCCTTGAGATCTCGGCACCCCCCACCTGCCCCTACCACAACACTCTAGTCAAACGTTCCGTGTCCCACTGTTTCCACTTTTCTCTGTTCGCCTTGCATTGCAGAATCCCTGGTACCTAGCACATAGACATCCTTGATAAATATTTGTTGACTGAATTAAGGGATGGACAAATGATACCTCGCTGGCACTGTGCTGAGTGCTGGGTAAACAGTGGTGAACAGAGCAAAAGGTGCCTGCCCTCATTGTACTCACAGTTTAGCTCCGAGTTTACCCAAGTTCGAATACATTGTCTGGCTGCAGAGCTGCCCATGAACCACAGCCCTCACACCGGCGGCCTGAGGGTGAAATCTAACCCACAAAGCTTTTCTTTAACCCATTCCATGTCTTTAAAATTTTTGAGATAACATTTAAAAATCAGTAGATTTCACATATAAATCTGGATTTCTGGTTTCTCCTGGAAATTGGAAAGATGTGGCCACATTGAGTTTCTGTACCCAAATGACGTGATTGTGACTGCCTTTTAGGTAGGCACATTCTCCACAGTCCCCACCACTCTCTAGTCGCTCCCCGACAGCCAGCACAGTTGTCTTTAATCACTGAATGTTCACTATTGTTTTCTTTATAACAAAGAAATTTGTTCTGCAGTTATGTCTCTACCAAAGTTGGAACATGAAAGGCTTATGGATCACACAAGTCAAGAAATAGGATATTCACTGATTGGACAATATTTCTTGATAACCACTTTGTGCTAGGCACAGCTGCAGATGCTGGGGACAGCATGGGCAATACTCTGTCCCTCCTGGGGCCTCATTCCATCCACTGTAAGGTTCTTGTACAAGCTGGAGACGTTGGACTGGCTGGCTGCATCCATCTGATCCACCCACCTGGCCTTCTGGACATTCATGCTGCTCCCCTGATGAGAAAGACTGCCTCTTGTGCCCAGAGCCATCCATGAAGACTTCACCACAGATCCACCAAGTGCCTACTGCATACCAGCCCATCAGGATCTGGCGTGACAAAAGTGTTCTATAGATATTTGTTGAGTGAATGAACTAAAATCACCTCTCTCCTAGACAGGCTGTGTTTGTCAATGTTGTTTCTCCAGAATTTGCCTCAAAAGATAAATACGTAGTAGGTGCTCAGTTAATGTCAGTTGAAGGAAAGGGTCCAGGATCAGAGAGGAGGGTTGACATGGGAAGCGAGGGTGGCAGGAAGGCAGAGCCTGGTAAAGGCAGGAAAAGGGGGCAAACATGACTGCCCCATGGCAAGAGCTCACATCACCCTCCCGGCAACCCCAGGAGGCATAGGATAGGATTCCCAGGTGACAGACTCTTGGCCAAACTCACAGGCTCCAGGAGTGAGGGAGGAGGAGGCCCACCTGTCCCCAAAGTCCACAGTCTCCCCACATCCACAGGCACGCCGTAGAAGTCCTGTGGGGAGCTGTAAAGGGCCGCTGGAAACCTCCCCACTATTGAAAAAATGCCATCTCCAACTAGATGCCTGAAAGTCCACCATCAGCTGTCTACTCCTCTTTTGACTCCTGACTTTTGAACTGTGTGAATTCATTTGTCAAACTCATTTCCTCCTAATCTGTGAGAAAGGTATATGTGTGGTAGGGACTCTAAAATGTTAGTTTTATATTGGGGTGGGGTTTAAGAACTAAAAGAGAAAGAGGGTGCCATACCTGCCCTTAATAGGTCAGCTAGTAAAAGAAGCCCAGCCATGGCCAAAATGTCACAGTAAAGTGCCTCTTGGAGGCCACCAAGCACTCCCTGGCTTCTGAGGAGGGTGGGCATCCCTCCAACTGGGCCTGAGGACTGAGCAGAGCATGATGAATGGTTGGGGGTAGGGGCGGGGACGGTCCCAGGCTGAACTTCAGCCAGGGGTGGGGAGGCTGTGGGGAGGAAGCTCTCCATGGTGGCTGCACCCGGGCAAAGGAGGCTGGGCCTGACCCCGTCAGGGGACCTGGACCCTTAGCCCTCCTCTGGCCTTGCTGCATCTGAAATCCAGTCGTTAGGGACTAGGAAGACAGCTTTTTCGGAGGTGTAAGCTCCAAATGCCAAGGCGCTGGGGGTTTTCGGGATCATGGTGGACTCAGTGCAGTTTAAATGCCCCTTCCTCCAAGAAGCCTTCCCAGGGCAGAAGGCGGGCTCTCCACTTTGTATTCGGGCCGTGTGTGCGTCTTGTGAGCTCCTGCGACCCCACATGCCTCTGGGCAGAAGTTGGCGCCCAGCAAATACCTTTAGGCTGAACCACGAATTGCTCAGCCAGGCATTGGGATCCCGGGCCGCCTGGGCCCAGGCCCGGTTAGACAAGTGAGGGCCAAGCGGCCCGCTCCCACCCGGAGGCGTCACGCCTCCCCAGGCGACCCGGGCGCGCCAGGCCGGCCCGGCACAGTTGGGCGAGTTTCATTTCATCAAAGCGGAGCGTGCGAGCGTCGGTGCAAATAACGTTGCCCCCTCCGCTCCCTCCTCGCAACTCTGGCACTCCCGCTGGGAGGTCCCGGCCGGGTAGCCAGGTGCCGGGTGTCCG